GCAGACCCTTTGAAGAGATATTGTTCTTATTATTCTGTCCCTCCTCAGAGGACACTTTAGGACAGAGAAGGCACAACACAGCACTCATTTCAACACTTGCCTGTATCCATGCCCGAGGCAGACATCCCCAATCAATCACAGCAGACTTTATCCCAGCCAAGGCAAACATGGCACTCCAGGCAGACCATACCAATCAATCAGAATTACCGAGGCAAGTAAAATATATTTGTCATCCCTGCCCAAGCACATGGAAAATAGCAGATGCAGCAGAAACTATTAGAAACTCCTAATATGAGGTTACCTGAAATAAAGCAAGGGGGATGCCGAATTATCAGACCCAATCTCTCTCCCATGCAGCATACCCCCTTATTTAGTTTCTCCTGGATTTATGCACTTGTTTTACCCATGGTTGTCTTGCCTAAGGATTAACCATCCCAGTCATTCCCAGGAAGCCCATTTCTCACCCAAAAGCCAATAAAACTGTGTCTTAGTCAACTCAAGCTGATATAACAAAATACCATAGACTGGGTGCTTACACAGCAGAGATTTATTTCTCACAGATCTGGAGACTGGGAAGTCTAAGATCAAGGTGCCAGCAGATTCAGTTCCTGGCGATGACACTCTTCCTGTCTTGCAGACAGCCCGACTCATCACTGTCCTTACATAGGGGAGAGAGAGAGAGAAGGAGCTCTGGTCTCTCTTACTGTTCTTATAAGGACACTAATCCCATCATGGGGGCCCCACCCTCAAGGCCTCATCTAAACCTAATCACTTCCCAAAGGCACACCTCCAAATTACACATTGGGGGTTAGGGTTTCACTGTATGAATTTGGGGGGGACACAAACATTCAGTCCATAGCACTCTGAGGATGACCCTTATCTTCCACCTCTCCCTCATCTGCCTCAGCCCATTTCTACCTCCTTTATATCTCTGAATCTACCCCCTTTTCCCTGTTCTCATTTGGAAATCATTATTTCTCACCTGGATTATAGGATAGATTCCCAGCTGGTCTTCCTGACATTGTTTTACTGTCCTCTAACCCATACTTCATGCTACATTTTAAAACTTGCATTCCACCTTGTCCCTCCCTGCTTAAAAGTCTTTCACATTTTTTCCCCCTCTAAATAATACTTAATGCTTTAACGTGGCATAAAAGCCCACCCATTACCACCTCTGATGCACTTCTTCTTGCCAGAATCAAAAGAAATTGACTCACAATTTCTACAAGCTCCATGATGGGCTTTACATTTTTGAAAGATTGCTCAAGATGCAGAGTAGAAAACAGG